TTACAAGAGGTTTGATTTTAATTTGAAATCTGGTTGGGTGTGGTGGACTCACACCTGTAATCCTGGTGCTTTGGGAGGCCGAGGCAGGAGGATTGCTTGAAGCCATGTGTTTGAGACAGCTTAGCAAATATCATGAACCCAATCTCTACAAAAAAAATTAAAAATTAGCCAGGCATGATGGTGCACACTTGTAGTTTCCTCCCTTGCGCCCTCACCTTCTCAGGAGGCTGAGGTGGAGGATCAGTTGAGCTCAGGAGTTTGAGTCTGCGCAGTAAGCTATGATGGTACCACTGTACTCCAGTCTGGGCAACAGAGTAAGATCCTATTCTAAAAAAAAAAAAAAAAAAAAAAAACAACCCAGGAAATCTATTTCTTCAAATTTTTTTACCATCTTCTGAACTATAACCTCTCCTGTTTTATGGTTTCTGTTTAATTTCTCGTATAGTAATTTAATTTCTCAAACTAGAGTCTTTCTCTTGAAGATTTCAGTTTTATGTCTCAGAAGTGCACTTCTGCTGCACCTCATTGCACATGATTTGCAAGTTCATACACCATTGCCTTCTGCTCTCCTCCCTCTCCTCTTAAAAGGCACACTTTTTTTTTTTTTTTGAGACGCATTCCCACTCTGTCACACAGGCTGGAGTGCAATGGCGTGGTCCTTGTTCACTGCAACCTCCGCCTTCCGAGTTCAAGCAATTCTCCTGCCTCAGCTCCTGAGTAGCTGCACTACAGGCACATGCCACCACAACGGCTAATTTTGTATTTTCAATAGAGACAGGTTTCACTATGTTGTCCAGGCTGGTCGTGAATTCCTGACTTCGTGATCCACTGCCTCGGCCTCCCGAAGTGCTGAATTACGAGGCATGAACCACTGCGTCGCTGGCACACTTTTTTTTTTCTTAATTAACTTAATGACTCTCTCTTGACATTTTTGTAAGCTTCTGTACTTATTTTATCTGTTCTAACTCTGTTGTTGAGGCCTAATGCTGATATGTTTGTCTTAAAGGCCTAGAAAGCAATGTTTTCCTCAAGAATAACTTGATTCTGTGCTATTGGCTTTCTTGATATGTGCGTGAATTATTCCATGTAACCAGGAAACTTAATGTGTTTTACTTTTTCTAAGAGCCATATTTGTCTTGTTCCGCTGCTCAATACTTATTTTTTGTTTACTGTCTTGGTCTGATAAGCAGGTAGAGTGTGATGTAAGCTCAGTAACCTTGGATAGCACCACTGCATCAAGTGTCAAATTGTGAATTCAAGAGCTTTACATCTAGTATAGGACTTTTCCAGGTTATTTCAATATATGAGTATTGGCTTTTTTTTTTTTAAAACTAAGAGCAATGATACTCCAGTAAACCCTTATCACTTTAAACATAGATAACTAGTTTTTGGTTTTGTATCAGTATACTCAATTTTCAGAAAAATTTATAAACAATTTCCTTCTAAATTTAGCCAACTTGATTACATGTAAAATTTATTTCATAAGATTCATCTTTCACAAACATTTTGCAAGTTGCTCAAACATCTTATGGCTTGCTTAGGCCTAATTTTGTTTTAGATTTTCTTTTTTAATATTGGAATAAACAATTATTCTACCTTAAGACAAAAATTTACTTTTCTTTTTCTTTATCATTTTTACCACATAAGATTCTTTCTCATACAAAGTTATGTATCTTTTTCATCTTTCTTACCAAAGATACCTTCTCATATTTATAATTTTCTTTGCATGTCTCTTTTACTTATTGATTTCTTTCTGTCTTGTCTTTATTTTCATCTTAAATCTATATTTTGAAACAACCTTTAAATAATGTCCAAATTAGATATAATTATTATTTTAAAATTAAAAAACATATATTCATGTTCTTTTTTAAAATAATTTTTTACTGGCTAGGTGCAGTGGCTCACATCTATAATCCCAACACTTTGGGAGGCTGAGGCAGGAGAACTGCTTGAGCTCAGGAGTTTGAGACTAGCCTGGGTAACATAGCAAGACCCCATCACTACAAAAAAAAATCTAACCTAATGAAAAGGTACTTGAATTCAATTTGACACTTGATGAGTGTGTATCCAAGGTTATGAGTATACACTATGTTATAGAAGAAGTAAACAAAAAAATAAGTACCTTGAGCAGGGAAACATATGGCTCTTAGAAAAAGTAAAAGCACATTAAGTTTCCTGGTTACATGGAATAATTCAGACATATCAAGAAAAGCCAATAGCACAGAATCAAGTTATTCTTGAGGAAAACATTGCTTTTCTAGGCCTTTAAGACAAACATATCAGCATTAGGCCTCAACAACAGAGTTAGAACCAGATAAAATAAGTACAGAAGCTTACCAAAATGTCAAGGGAGAGAGTCATTAAGTTAATTAAGAAAAAAAAAAGTGTGGCCAGACGCCGGCAATACTGGACAGAGTCTTTTCCATGATCTGATTGCAAAGATGCATTTTAAAGAAGAATTCAAACCTGTGGGAAGACAGAGCTTAAAACAGCCCCATGGTTAAATCTGATGAGGGTTCAGCAATTGAAAAGGAATCCAGTTTATGTTATTGCATACAGCCTTTTACGACAACAACCAGAAAAATGACTAACAGCATCGCATTAGGACCATCAAACCTTTATAAATTTTATAATTTTTTAAGATCTTCACACAATAACATAGCCGTATAAATATAACTTAGAGATATTTTTAGCCATCACTTTTATGATCCCATCTGTGCCTCCAATGCTTCTCCATACCAACTCAATACATCAAAACAAGCCTAATTAGTTTACCAATTTCTACAAGCTGAAAAATCATCTTTTGGAGGTTCTCCAGATCCAACTAAAATCTCAAAAGAATAATTCTAGGTTGAAAAGACTTCAATTTAAAACTCTGATATGCGAGAAGCCAGCCAAATATGTTCAAAGGTATAAAACCTTTAATTAAAACCGAATTGCCAGATCAAGTTGAATAATGTTGTCCACTTACCAAGAGTGACTGAGATTTAAGGTCGAGGGTGGCAATCTCACACAATGATGTGGAACACTGCAATCATCCTCAAACTGACTACAAAAGGATTGTGGACTGAAAGATTTAAGAAAGTAGCTGAAGCATGGTGGCATGCCCTGTAGTCCCCCCAGCTACTTGGGAGGCTGTATGCTAACCTGGGAGGTGAGGCTGCCAGTGAAGGCCGAGATCACCCCATCGCACTCCAGCCTGGCACGAGTGAACCAGTCTCAAAAACCAACAACAACAACAACTAAAAAAGACAGATGAAGCAAAGGAAATTACCTTGATAAAACACAGAATCTTGTTTCCTAGGCCGATTACCAAAAAGAAATAAACTCCTGCAGTGGAGTTGCTTCTTAATAGGAGTCCTTTTAGATAACCTGAAATCTAACCTAATGAAAAGGTTACTTGATATTCAATTTGACCACCTTGAATGATGTGTATCCAAGGTATGCGTAATACACTATGTTAAGAGAAGTAAAACAAAAAAATAATACCTTGACAGGGAAACATATGGCTCTTAGAAAAAGTAAAGCACATTAAGTTTCCTGGTTACATGGAATAATTCCAGACATATCAAGAAAAGCCAATAGCACAGAATCAAGTTATTCTTTGAGGAAAACATTGCTTTTCTAGGCCTTTAAGAACAAACAATATCAGCATTAGGCCTCAACAACAGAGTTAGAACCAGATAAAATAAGTACAGAAGCTTACCAATGTCAAGGGAGAGAGTCATGTAAGTTAATTAAGAAAAAAAAGTGTGGCCAGACGCAGATGGTTCATGCCTGGTAATTCCAGCAACTTCGGGAGGCCGAGGCAGGTGGATCACGAAGTCATGGAATCCAAGACCAGCCTGGACAACATAGTGAAACCTGTCTTATTGAAAATACAAAAATTAGCCCTTGTGGTGGCATGTGCCTGTAGTCCCACTACTCAGGAGGCTGAGGCAGAGAATTGCTTGAACTCGGAAGGCGGAGGTTGCCAGTGAACAAGACCACCGCCATTGCACTCCAGCCTGTGTGACAGAGTGGGAATGCGTCTCAAAAAAAAAAAAAAAGGTGTGCCTTCTTAAGAGGGAAGGAGGAAGAGCAGAAGGCATGGTGTAGACTTGCAAATCATGTGCAATGAGGTGCAGCAGAAGTTGCACTTCTGAGACATAAAACTGAAAACTCAAGAGAAAGACTCTAGTTTGAAAATTAAATTCACTATAGAGAAATTAAACAGAAACCATAAAAACCAGGAAGAGGTTATAGTTCAGAAGATGGTAAAAAAATTTGCAGAAATAGATTTCGGGTTGTTTTTTTTTTTTTTTTTTTTTTAGAGATAGATCTTACTCTGTTGCCCAGACTGGAGACCAGTGGTACCACCATAGCTTTATCGCAAGACTCACAAACCTGAGCTAATCTGATGCCTCCCACTCTCAGCCTCCTGAGAAGTGTGAGGGCGCAAGGGAGGACTCCTACAAGTGTGCACCATCAAATGCCTGCCTAATGTTTTATATTTTTTTTGTAGAGATTGGGGTCTCAGATATTGCCTAAGCCTGGGTCAAACACACATGGCTTGCCAAGCAATCCTCCTGCCTCGCCCTCCCAAAGCACCAGGATACAAGGTGTGAGTCACCACACCCAACCAGGATCTTCAGATTAAAAATCAAAACCTCTGTAATTTTTTTTTAAAAACTGAAGAGCAATGTATACCTCCAGTAAACCCTTATCACCTTTAAACATAGATAACTATTTGGTTTTGTATCCAGTATCTCAATTTTCAGAAAATTTATAAACAATATTCCTTTCAAATTAGCCACTTTGATACATGTAAAAATTATTTCATAAGATTCCATCTTTCACAAACATTTTCACGTTGCTCAAGCATCCTTATGGCTTGCTTAGGCCTAATTTTGTTTTAGATTTCTTTTTAATATAGGAATAACAATTATTCTACCTTAAGCAAAATTTACTTTCCTTTTTTTTTTTTTCTGTTTCTATCATTTTTACCACATAAGATTCTTTCATCATACAAAGTTATGTATCTTTTTCATCTTCTTACCGAACAGATACCTCTCATATTTATAATTTTCTTTGCATGGTCTCCTTTTACGTATTTGTTTCTTCTGTCTTTGTCTTATTTCCCATCTTAAAATCTAATATTGCAACACCTTTAAATCATGTCCAAATTAGATATAATTTATTATTAAAATTAAACATATATCATGTTTCTTTTAAAATAATTCTTTTACTGGCTAGGTGCCGTGGCCTCACATCTATAATCCAACACTTGGAAGGCTGAGCCAGGAGAACTGCTTGAAGCTCCAGGAGTGTTGAAGGACTAGCCTGGGTAACATAGCAAGACCCATCACGTACAAAAAAAAAAATAAAATTGTTTTAAACATATTAAACTAGCCACTTATTCATCAAAGATTTACACAAAGGATAATTTTGCCTTTTGAAGGCCTGGGATTTGTCGGTCCCTATGACCTTACAACATCTAGCAGAGACAAATATAGAACTTCCTGACCAGTAAACTCAGCCAAAACTTTATGCTAAGCATTCTGAAAGACATTTTATTTTTATTTTACCAACAATTTTTTTTTTTTTGAGGGTGGAGTCTCACCTCGTTGCCAAGGCTGGTGGCCATGGCCACACAATCCAGCTCCACGCACCTCCAACCTCCGGTCAAGGTGATCTCCTGCCTCAGCCCACCTGAGTAGCTGACCAGTTACCAAGTTGCGCCACCATGCCAGCTAATTTTGGTATTTTTAGTAGAGATAGGGTTTCACTATGTGCCCAGCCTGGTCTCAAACTCCTGACCGCAAGTGATCTGCCCACCTCGCCCTCCACAGTGCGGTTACAGGTGTGAACCACCACGCCCAGCCTAATTTACAATAATTTTAAGATTAGTTACTTAACAAAAGATTACCCACAGGTCAAGTGGCTTACACCTGTAACCTAGCACTCTGGGAGGCCAAATGGCAGATCACGAGTCCAAGAGTTCGAGACCAGCTTTGCCAACAATGGTGAGAACCATCTCTATTAAAAATACAAAATTATCCAGGAGTAGGCTGCGGCACACACCTTGTATCCCAAGCTATAGGGAGGCTGAGGCAGGAAATCCTTGAACCCAGAAGGACAAGGTTGTGGGTGAGCAGAGATATCGCCCACTGCCCAC